ACGCTTAGCTCTGTTTTTTTCCCCTGCTTCCAAAATTGATGAGACTTCATTTAGGGCTGCCAAATTTTGCACTGCTGGTGCCTGTAAATAGACTGGTTTGCACTGTAGAGAACTCATCTTCATGTGATAGGTCCCACCTCCTCTGTCAGACTGTGAAGGCTGTTCCTACCTTGAAGAGAGCCGAAACCAGCATTGCCATGGGGTTCTGGCACTGTGGGGGTACTGGCCGATGACAATTTCTCAACTGTGAGACTTTTGATAGAGCCTTAATATGAAAAGAGAATCAAGCAAAGCTTGCAGGTCAGCATGAATTTTTTATTCACCAGCCCCCCTTCCCCATGGTTATGAAAGCCCAGACATCTGCATATAAACTTTCCTTTTGTTCTTTCCTCTGAGCTACCTCAATAATTCAAACACTTTTGTTGGCCTGAGAACTACCAGTATGGGAGGGTTGTTTACACTAAATCATATATATATTGTACTTTGTTGGCAATTTAAGGGGCTCTCAGGGATTGGTTTGACTATAGTTAATTTTCATCTTATTCATCATATATAATGTAATTCCTTTGTGGTAAGTTTTCTGTAAATGTTAGTTATTACTATTATTATCAGAGAGAAGTATTTCACTGATGTGTAAAAATACCGGAAGAACAAAATCAGCTCAGGGTATCGTAGAAAATGGCCCATGTATATGAAGCTGATGCTTTGGGTCTTCCAGATAATGTGTTCTGGGTGGATCAGGTGGCTTGGTGAGGTTTGGCAGGGGGGTGCCCCCACAAAACAGACAGGCTTCCACCTCAAGATTCATTATGGAACTAACCTTAGCACATGCATAATTGGATTTTATGGTGCTTCATCTCCTCTTTTTTTTTATTGCGGTCGAAAATATAACACAAAATTTGCCATCTTAACTACTTTTTTTTTTAAGTAGGCTCCACGCCCAGCACGGAGCCCAGCACAGGGCTCGAACTCACCACCCTGGGATAAAGACTGGAGCTGAGATCGAGTCGCACTCCCACCAACTGAACCAACCAAGCGTGCCGCCATCTTAACCATTTTTAATTGTACAGTACAGTAGTAGTAACTACATACACATTGTTGTGCAACAGATCTCTAGAACTTTTTCATCTTGCAAAACCGAAACTCTATGCCAATTGAACAGCAACCCCCCCCCCTTTTCTCCCCAGCCTCCCAGTCCCTGGCAACTACCATTCTACTTTCTGTTTCTAAGAGTTTGACTATTTTAGAGGCCCCATATAAGTGGAATCATGTGATCTTTGTCTTTTTATGATTAGCTTGTTTCACTTAGCATAATGTCCTCAAGGTTCATCCACATTGTAGCATATGACAGGATTTCCTTATTTTTTTTTTTTTTTAAGGCTGAATGATATTCCGTTGCATGTATACACCACATCTTTTTTCCCCATTCATCTGTTGGTGAACATGTAGGTGGCTTCCATCTCTTGGCTATTGTGAACATGCGGCGGTGAACACGGTGCGCAAATATCTCTTCAAGCTCTGTTTTCAGTTCTTTTGGATATATACCCAAAGTGGAATTGCTGGATCATATGGTAGTTCTATTTTTAATTTTTTTGAGGAGTCTCCATATTGTTTTTCATAGCAGCTGCTCCATCTTACATTCCCACCAGCAATGGTGCCCCACTTCATTCTGACCCTTGCTATATACTGTCCTGCTTTGGCCCACCAGCTTGCTGAGTCCACCTTTCACCCATGCTCTCTATCCTGCTAATTCAACTGTAGCTACACTAGGCGCTCCCAGGCTCTGGCAGCTCCACCTCATTCTGCCCCCTAGGTTAGGTCTCCTAGAGTGATTCTAGATGGAGCAGGGCTCAGGCGAAGGACCCAAGATCCCAGTGACCAAACCATCTCAGATTCCATATGGGCTACTTTTTTGCTTTCTAAATCTGGGAAGCATTGCCACTTGTTTTTTATTTTCCTCCTCTTTCTTCCAGGAAGGGAGATGTAACTGTCAGAAGGAGTTTGTTGGCCTCATTCTGTCATTTTTCTGCTCTTGAGGCTACTGCAGTGGATGGAATGAGCTCTCAGAAGCCCAGGTGCACAAATCTAAACTTTCAGTAGAAGCTTCCTCCCAGTTGTTCCTCAGGGTCACCTGTGGCTCTAAGGGTTGGCTAGCACTGAGCTCTTAAAGGGCAGGGCCCAGAGTCATGCATGATTCAGTTCAAGTCACAGAAGGCTGGAGTCCTCCCTCAGGTCTTCCACATCAGCTCCATATCAGACCAGAAAGTTATAGTCTATTTCTTTTTCTGGATGACCACCCCACTAATGGGCAAGCTGCCTCATTGCTAGTCCTGAGTTGGTGAATCTTGAATCATCAAACCAGGGTCAGCTTCCCACCTGTGCCTAATTCAGTTGGCTTCAGCTGTAGATTTGACCTGTTGGTGTTCAGAGGTCCACCTTAGGCTTTTGGAGAAGCGTAGTGGGTATAAAAGGAGACATGATACCTTCAAACATTATTCTTGCCCTCTGGAACCTCAGTTGCAGTGATGGATAGAGTGGAAGAGAGAGGAGAGAGAAAACCTCAAAAACAGTCTTCCTTCTTAACCCATAAATTCTCAGGCCAAGTCTTACTGGTGCTATGTCTGTTGGGAACATGGGTAGGCTGGAACCTGTACATATTAACTGACCTGATTTAGCCTTGGAAAAATGATGCTTTAGCTCTAAAAAGGTATCATGATGAACCTAATTTCCCTCTCTAGATACTAAGGTTCCACTAAAGAGTTACCCAGTTGGAGAATTTGGGACTAGGGAAAGATAATGGAAATCTGATTTCATGGGGAGGAAATTATAAATTTACTCACGTATGTGAGTCTCAGGCTTTGAAAAACCATGTTGACCTCAGTCTCTTTTTCCATTCTCATTTCTGATTGCTACCTGTGATGGTCAGTTTTACGTGTTAACTTGGCTAGACTGTAGTCCCCAGTTATTCGATCAAATCTAGTTGTTGCTGTGAAGGTATTTTGTAGATGTGACTGACATTCATAATCAGGTGACTTGATGTAGGCATCATAGTTCCTGATTTCAAACTATATTACAAAGGTAAAGTAATCAACACAGTATTGTATTGGCGTAAAAACAGACACATAGATCAATGGAATAGAGAGCCCAGAAATAAATCCATGCATAAATGGTCCATTAATTTACAACAAAGGGGCCAAGAATATACAATTGGGAAAGGAAAGTCTCTTCAATGAATGATGTTGGGAAAACTGGACATTCACATGCAAAAGAATGAAACTGGACCCCTATATCATACCATATATGAAAATCAACTCAAAATGGATTAAAGACTTAAATTTAAGACCTGACGCCCGGGTGCCTGGATGGCTCAGTCGTTAAGCGTCTGCCTTTGGCTCAAGTCATGATCCCGGGGTCCTGGGATCGAGCCCCGCATCGGGCTCCCTGCTCAGCAGGGAGTCTGCTTCTCCCTCTCCCACTCCCCTTGTTTGTGTTCCCTCTCTCGCTATGTCTCTCTTTGTCAAATAAATAAATAAAATTATTTAAAAAAAAAGACCCAACGCCATAAAACTCCTGGAAGAAAACATAAGGGGTAAGCTCCTTGACATCAGTCTTGACAAAGGCAACAAAAGCAAAAATAAACAAGCAGAACCACAGCAATCTAAAGAGCTTCTAAATGGTAGCAAAGGAAACCATCAACAAAATGAAAAGGAACCTATGGAGTGGGAGAAACTATTTGCAAACCATGTATCTGATAAAGGGTTAACATCCACATATATAAAGAACTCGTACAACTCAATAGCAAAAACCCAAACAATCCAATTAAAAAATGGGCTGAGGAACTGAGTAGACCTTTTTTTTAAAGAAGACATACAATGGCCAACAGATACATGAAAATGTGCTAAAAATCACTAATTATCAGGGAAATGCAAATCAAAACCGTAATGAAATATCACCTCACGTGAATCTGTTAGAATGGCTGTCATAAAAAAAGACAAGGTAAGTATTGGCAAGGATGTGGAGGAAAGGGAACCCTTGTGCACTGCTGGTGGGAATATAAATTGGTGCAGCCACTGTGGAAAACAGTGTGGAGGTTTCTGAGAAAATAAAAAATAGAACTACGTACCATACGATCCAGCAATCCTGTTTTGAGCATCTATTCAAAGGAAATGAAAATAGGATATCGAGATATCGGCACTCCCATGTTCACTGCAGCATTATTCGTAACAGCCAAGGGATGGAAGCAACATAAGTGTCCATCAATAGGTGAATGTGACACATTTGGAATGAAAATGGAATGGTAGTGGAATGTTATTGGATAGTTTTATTGGATAATATTATTATCCAATACCACTGGATATGATAATGGAATATTATTCAGCCACGAGAAAGAAGGAAACCTGCCATTTGCAACAATATGGATGGGACTTGAGGGCATTATGCTAAGTGAGATAAGCCAGATAGAGAAAAATACTGCGTGATCTCACTTGTATGTGGAATCTAAAAAATTGTCAAACTCAAAGATACCTCAGGGAATAAGAGGCTGAGGGTAGGACAAATAGAGAGAGGTTGGTAAAAGGGCACGAGCTTTCACCTATAGGATGAATAATGCCAGGGGCGCCTGGGTGGCTCAGTAGGTTAAGCGTCTGCCTTCGGCTCAGGTCATGATCCCAGGGTCCTGGGATCGAGCCCATCGTCGGGCTCCCTGCTCAGCGGGAAGCCTGCTTCTCCCTCTACCCCTCCCGCTGCTTGTGATCTCTCTCTCTCTCTCTCTCAAATAAATACATAAAATCTTTTTAAAAAAAAAGATGAATATGGGGCGCCTGGGTGGCTCGGTTGGTTGGGCGACTGCCTTCGGCTCAGGTCGTGATCCTGGAGTCCCGGGATCGAGTTCCGCATCGGGCTCCCTGCTCAGCGGGGAGTCTGCTTCTCCCTCTGACCCTCTTCCCTCTCGCGCTCTCATTCTCTCTCTCTCTCTCAAATAAATAAAATCTTAAAAAAAAAAGATGAATAATGCCAATCTGAGGATATAATGTATAACATGGTGATTATAGTTGATAACACTATACTGTATCATTGACATTTGCCAAGAGTATAAGTTAAATGTATAATATGAGGTGTGAGGTGATGGATGTGTTAATTCACTAGATGGGAGAAACCCTTTCACAGTATACACACAAATCAAATCATCATGATGTACAATTTAAATATCTTAAAATTTTACTTGTCAATTATACCTCAATAAAGCTGAAAAAAAACATCCGTTGACTTTAAATAAATTTGTTCCGGATAATTTAATCCCAGCAGTTGAAGGACCTTCAGAGAGAGCTAAGGCTTCCTCAGGGAAGCAGAAATCCTGCCCGTGGACAGCCGCTTCTATTCCTGCTGGTGAGTTTCCTTCCAGCCTGCCCTACCTGGTGGCCTGCCCTATGGGTTGCCCATTTTCCTGGCCAGCCCCTACAATCACATAAGCCAGTTCTTACTCTATATCTCCTACTGGTTCTGCTTCTCTGGGAGCCCTGACTGAGGCAGAACCCCTCACATGGGTCCTGGAGCCTCCTGAATGATCTCGCAATTTCCAAACGTGCCAGCTGCCATTTCCACCTATGAGTCTTAGCTTGTTGCCTACGCCCCCGCTTGGGATGTCCTCCTCCAGGGGGCCACTTGTCAAGTCTTATATCTTGCTTTCAAGGTCCAGCCTGGAGAGCTGCCTCTGTGAAGACTTCCTGGTCAGTGCTCCCTCCTGTGAATTCATCTAGCACTGTGGGGGGCCACTCATCTGGCCTGCAGGCCAACTTGGTCTTGTGATGACCCTGTAAGGGTCAGAAGCATGACTTCTATGTCTTTGTTTCCCTAATTCTAGCTGCAGCTCCACCCAAGCGATATACTCAGACGCTTGTTGATGACGCTACCAAAGCCCTACCAACATAAGCAGAGGGCCACCTTTAGGTTTCCGATGCATTTCATAATTCCTGTCACTTCACAAGTGCCAACATTTTCATGGTGTGGAGCACCCCCACCCACATTCTGGGGCTTGGATATGCTGGAATAACAGAAGAGGGGCTTTGGAAACACGACTCAAAATAGGGAATAGAGCCAAAGACAAGATTTTGATGTGAACACCCATAGGAGTCATGTATGTCAAGAGTCTGAGGAAAGGTCTTACTGTCCAGTCCTCAGGCCAGATTCCCACCTTTTCTTTCCCCCCTTCCCCTACCTGCAGGGATTCAGAACCTCTGGCTCCATTCAGGGAAAACCTGAAGGAACTGAACATCCAACAACCTGAGCCAAGGATCCTAAGTGGAGGTGAGGAGGAGGGAAACGAGAGCTAAAAGCTAGCGCCTGGCAGAGGAGGGCGTGCCCAGAAGGGAGACTCCCGAGTTCCTCAATGACAGTCAGAGGGCAGCCCCAAGTGAACTCTGGAGGAAGCCTTAGGTGGTTCTGGAGCAGCAAGCAGGTGAACACACTCCGTCACAGGCATCTCAGGCTGGAGTCTGAGGTGAGGAACTGGTGCAAATCCCTCTGGACTCCGGGTGCACGTGACGAACCAGCTAGCACCAGCCTGTCCTCAGTGCCTGGCTGCACCTTCTGTCCTGATCCTCTGAGCGGAGGAAGGAGATTACACAACCTATGGGAGGTGATGATGCATTCCTGTCTAACTCGGAGCACTGCAGGCTCTTCAAAGACCCCGGTCCCTGTCGGAAAGCTGTGTGTTGGGGCGGCGGGGGGCGGTACTCACGCAGCAGCCTGGGCCAGGGGCCTCACGAGAAGGCGAGGTTCTTCTTCTGGCCTCCTCCCTTCCTCACCTCCCCTGAGAACAAAAAGAACGGAAACTTCTCGGGGAAGAGAAAGCAGGGTGCATGGGCCCTCTGGCTGTGGCTCAGTTACTTCCTGAAAAAAAAAAACAAAAAAAAAAAACCTACCGTTTCCAGAACGGCCTGAACTTGCAGATTGGAGTTTCAGTGAAGGGCAATCTTAACTCTGACCTTTCTTCTGAGGTGGGGCCGTTGTGAGGGAGCCACACCACGTGGCAGGGGCTGAGGTGAGGGGTCGAAATGCGGACACAGGTCCTCGTGAAGAACAAAGTTCGGCTGGATATGTTGAATAGGAGACGGTTTTCCTCACTGGTGCACCCCTAAATTATCTGGGTCCAGACTGAAACACCAAATCAGCAGCAACCGGGAGTGAGAGCGAGGACGAGAGGGCCCGCAGGAGTGACAAGCCGCTCTCGGTGACAATTCCTCCCGGGTCTGCCACTAATCACTGTGTGAGAGATAAGTCCAGCCTCACTAGTGATCACGGAGATGTAAATCCAGTCAAAGAGATACACCTTCCAGGGGCCACAGTGCGGGCCTCTTGAAGAGGACCTTCTAGACGCGCCGGGAGTGCCAGCTGGCTTCGGGGGAAGGCGCTCGGTGATAAGTAACAAGACTTGAAAAAGGATGACTCAGTAACGTCACTTCAAGGAAATGATTCTAAAGAAATAACAGGAGAGGGGCGCCTGGGTGGCTCAGTCGTTAAGCTTCTGCCCTCCGCTCAGGTCATGATCCCAGGGTCCTGGGATCGAGCCCCGCATCGGGCTCCCTGCTCGGTGGGGAGCTTGCTTCTCCCTCTCCCACTCCCCTGCTTGTGTTCCCTCTCTCGCTGTGTCTCTCCCTGTAAAATAAGTAAATAAAACCTTAAAAAAAAAAAAAAGGAAATAACAGGAGAGGTGAACAAAGATGAATTCATGTGAAGATGGTCATTGCTAAAAAACTACAAAGCCAAACCCTTAAATGGCCAACAAAAGGGCAGGGTTAATCACAAGTACATATTAGAGAACGTCATATAGTCATTAAATAAGGCCACTGGTGTAGGCGGTTGGATGAAACAGTGTGTGTGAGACCCCTTTGCTGGCTAGGAGGGGCTCCTTCACCTGGGGCCTCTCTCCCTCCTCTGTGAAATGAGTTTGTCAGCATCTACCATGGACAGTTGCTGTGAGACTTCAACGGGATGGTGAGTGTAAAGTGCCGAGCAGGGTCCCCAGCCTTCTAAGACTCAATCAATGTGAACAACGGTCATTTCGAAATGGACATGTCTTCTTTTTCAATAAGGAAAAAAAAAATCCGATTTCGTGCTATTTTAAAGTAATATGTCAGAAAAATTTCTGATGAAGTGCAACACAAAAAACACATTCAATATAAGAGCTGAATACAAACAATAGGTGTGGGGGCGCCTGGGTGGCTCAGATGGTTAAGCGTTTGCCTTTGGCTCAGGTCATGATCCCAGGGTCCTGGGATCGAGTCCCCGCATCGGGCTCCCTGCTCAGCAGGGAGCCTGCTTCTCCCTCTGCCTGCCGCTCCCCCTGCTTGTGCTCGCTCTTGCTCTCTCTCTCAAATGAATAAATAAAATCTTAAAAAACAATAGGTGTGCACACGGTTCCTCTTGCACAGATGCACACACACATACACAAATACATGGGTGCAATTCAGAAATGCTTCAAAGCGCTACCTCAAGATATCGCCAGGAACGAAGCCGTGGACCATGGGTGACTGTCGTTCTCCCCGTGGTACGTTAGTATGTTTTCAAAGGTTTCTACCATTGGCGCTTTACAGTTTTCAAAAAGTACAAATGTTCAGAAGATGCTGGATCCGGGGAGGGGGTGTCTGTGTGGAACACAGAAGGGAAAACTGTGACCTCCAGCCGTGAGCGGCCCCTCCATTGGTGTCATGCCCCACAGGAGGCCGAGTCACCCCTGTGGGGCCAGGGTGTCCCGTGAGATATATAGATCAGGGTCAGACCGGCTCGTGAGGTGTGATGGCCTCGGCAGACCTTTCCGGGGAGTGGGCACTCTGCCACCAGGCCTGTATCGTAATGAGATAATGTTTGTGAGAGCACTTTGCCAGAGAGAAAACTCCACCCAGATAGGTGATTCCGGGGCTTATTCGAGAGAAAGGAGGCTCTCAGAGCACATTCCGCTAAGGAATTTCACACTCTGCCTCCATCCCCCCCCCAACTCTTCCCTTTCACTCCCTCCCCTGCACAGAAATATATTTAGTAACCCTATCTAAACGCTCTTCTTTCCCTTAATTTGATTAAGGGGCTAGGGGAACAAGGGATGGAGCGGGGGCTGCGGAGAGGGGGAGATGGAGCTGTAGAGAGAGATTAGAGCAGCTGAATGGCTATCTCGGGCCGAGTGGTGCCTGAGTGTGGACAGGACAAGGGCCTCCAGGTACTTAGTACAGAAGCACAGAGGACAGAGGGAGGGAAGCCTTGATCACGGAGCACGCCTCTCTGGGGGATGAGAACCGAATCAGGGAGGGTCAAGCCTTGAGGATTAACTGGGAGAACTGGAACATTTCCTACGGAACGCACTGGCTTCTCGCCGAGTCTCTTCTGGCTTCCTGGAGCTTTAAGGGTCTTCAGATCCTTAAGAAGTTCCAAGAGGCTAACACGTGGCAAACTCCTGCTATGTATTAGGTACTTTCACATGTGTCAGCCAATTTACTCGGATTAAGTAAACTATTATCACCCGTGAAGATGAAGCTCAGGCGAGTCATTTTTGCCTGCAAGCTGGGGATCAAACCCAGCCTGGCCTGCTTCTGCCACTCCTCCTGGCCCATGTTACCTTCAGGAGGAAAATAATGACACTATGTATTTAGCCCTAGGTGCCTTAAATAGAAGTGGTCCTAATTAATCTATTTAATCCTCACAATGTCTCTATTAATGGCCATTAATGACCCCACTTTACAATGAGCAACCTTAGGCTTAGGGTAAGCAAGTAATCTGAAGTCATGGGGCTGGTAAATGGCAGACAGCAGGGTCGTCCCGAGCCTGGGAAGGTAGAGGAGTGCTGGGTCAGAGGCATTCCAAATGAGAGAGGCCCACAGAGAGTGTCTCTTCCGATAGTCTGGTTGCTCTTCAAGGACAGGGACCTTACCTTGTTTGTCCTGTATTCCCAGCCCCAGACACAATGCCGGGAACAGAGGGGACGTTTGCCGCAGGAACTAGTGGTACTTGATAAGTTTGGCCAAGTGAGTCTCCACTGGGGGCCAGGCTTGGTGAGGATTAAGTGAGGCATATTTGTCTAGGGATTTCCAAGTCTAAAATGTCACAGTGCTGGGCCTCAGCAAAAGGCTCTGTTGGCAATGGGGATCCATGCAGGAGGCTTTAAAGGTGACCAGGACCTTGACAATGGGCAGTCCCAGGGAGAGCGCTCCGGCTCCCCTTGTGGGCTGCGTTCAGGCCAGAGTGACAATAAGGGGGGTGTCTGGCACACACTCCCCACGAGTTCCTTCCACAGGGACATCTCAAGGACATCTCCAAACTCCAGGGGATAAAACAGTACGGGAGGTGGGGGGTGGTTGGTGGGAAGAGTGCCATCTGGGCAGCTCAGAAAGACAGGGGAGAGGGAAGTGGATGATTAGTGTTTTAATTGACAGGGACCTAGGACCTTTCTAGAAATAGGTTTGTAAGAACAAAGGGCGGACATTTATTCTCTTCTAGAGAGGACAAGAATCCTCCAGGAAGGGACCTCAGGCTTCAGCAAGAGCCTCTCATTGATTAATAAATACCTCGTGCGTGGCCTCATGGTCCACCCCAGCTTTAGAGGAGGCACGCAGGCTTCACTTCCTTCTGTAACCCGCGAGGACGGCTACCAAAGGGCGGAGAACAGAAACAGCCACCCAGTTCCTGGGCCAAGTCCAGGGCTTCCTGGCCTGCATTCAGAGAACCTCAGCCTTTCTCCCCCTCTTGCAACAGTCCTTGGTGTCTTTATGTGAGCTGCTTATTAACCAGAGGATATCAGGACACTGGGAGGGAACTGCCGTCGCTGGTTGCCAGAGAGGGTAATTCAGAATCGCGGAGTGGAGCAAAGCTGGGATGTGTGTCATCTATGTGACAGCGGTAGCCGGGCAGGATGGAACCAAAGTCTTGCTGGAGCATCAGGTTGGAGGGTCCTGTGACCTGCGGGCGGCCAGGAGGCCCCGGGGGTTCACCACCCGCATTGCCCATCCGTAGAAGAGTTCTGTCAGCCGGGACAAAGGATGATGGATGGCTCTGAAGGCAGGAGGCAGGAGCAGGGGTCCTAGGTGTGGAGGGGCAGGGCACGGCACTGCATCACCACTCCCCTCAACGGGCTCTTTCAAGGCCCTAGGAACTCCTCTACCACCTTCCTTTTCCAAAGAGACTACTACTTTTCAAGAAGAGGTCCCAAATTCAACACCTTCCCTCCCCCTCTTCCAGTAAACTGCTGCTGACAGTCCCAGTCTATAGGATTGCTACTGATGGGCTTCAGCAGCCAGCTGACCCCCCCCCCCGGGCAAAATGTGGGAGCAGAGCACCCCCCCCCCCGGGGCCCCAGAGATGGTTCTTGATACAAGAGCAGGGAATGGCTTCCTGCTGGGTCTAAAGACCCGTGGCTTAGCCAGGCTTCAGTTGGGCCGCAGGGTGACAAGTCTTAGGTTTCAAGTTGGGATCAGCTGCGCTGAGGGAAATGGTTGGGGAAACTCTCCCTCTTGGCTTCTTTCCTCATGGAAGATGGCTAAAGGAAGAGAAAGCTTAGGGCTGCTGAGCTGGTGTTGGTGCCTTAAAAATAATGATATAAACACAGCCCAGAAGTCGGCCTGTGGACTCCCTGATGGGGACCAGACAAGAAACACTGTCCGGACTTACCCTTCAGCCCACGCTCTGCCCTCATCTATCACCTCAGAAACTAAACAACTTCCTCAGATGGCCCCGTGGAACATAAATCACCAGGGCCCCAGCTTCTAAGAAAGCTGTCCAAACTGCAGCCCTCAGAAATACTTGTCCTCCTGGTCTTCCTCCTCTGTGCTCAGAACAGGGTGCTAGCAAGTCAGATTCACCCATGACTGTAGCAGGTCACTGCAAGTATGCGGCTCAGCTCCTCTGAGCCCTTGGTCCTCACCTGCAGGCTGGGGACCGGTCATGTCTCCCTCACAGGTGTGAGGTGGAAGTGAAATGAGATAATTCAGGTGGAGTGCTTAGCACAGCACCTCGATGAACTTTAGCTTCGGTGTTGTCATTCCATTGGCTGAAGACCATTCCCAGGTACAGAGAAGGAAAACAAGCAAACACCACTTCTAATTCGAATCCCAAACAAGGAGGGCTGTGGGCCAGAGCCGTGATGATTTCGTAAGGCACCAAGCTTCTTTCCTTGCTCGCTCTCACGCCTAAGCTGTGCCAGACTGGTTTATGCTTGGCAACCTCAGTGACCTCCAATGTGTTTAGGTTCTCACAGAGAAGCCCAACGGATACCTAGACCCGGCTGGAGCAGAGACAAAATTCAAACGCTCCGGGGTGGTAGAGAAATACAGTATGAGGGATCATCACAAAGAACATTTGTTCCGAGTCTGAGTGACTAAAGAGCTGTGGACACTCAGAGAGCCCCCTTTCCCAAGAGAGGTAGGAGATCTAGTTTACAAATTCTTCCTTTCACACATATTTCCACGATGGC